CCCCTCCCCTCCCCTCCCCAGCCACCTGTGTCTGGGTTTCTTTCCTCTCTCCCCCTTCTCGGAGGAATGTTTAGGGCTTGGATGTCCCCGACTGTCTGGGCAGAGGGGTGACCCTGCTGCGTCCCGGCAGCCGGGGCCCCTGTTTCTCAGCTGGGATAATCTTGGACATTTGGACGGACACCCTGGAGGAGGCTTCCTTGCGAACTGGCTTAGGCCGCTTGCTCCTGCCTCAGCCGTTTAAATCTGTCCTCGCGCTCCAGGAGAGAGCGGAGCAAGACGTGGCTCCCATCTGCTCTCTGTTTGCGCTCGGGCGCCGTTTCAAACCCGCACGGGGAAGCTCATAGGCAAACATCATAAACAGTGACAGCCCCAGGGCCGCCCTGGCGGCGGCGGCGCTAGCTGGAGGCCGGCTGCGCCCCGCAGCCCCCGAGGCTCCTCCCCCGCACCTCGTGGAGGCCACAGGCCCCGCGGCCGGCAGATCTCCGCTCCCAGGGCCGCGGCCGCTCGCCCAGGTGTTCTCCCACCGTGTTGGTTTGCCGGGGGGTGAACGCGTGTCGGTGACGCCAGCGTGATGTCACCCGGAGCTGGTGGCCTCCCCCTTGGTCGGCTGAGGGGCTAGGAGCAGAGTCAGGGAGCTCCTGCCTCGGTTTCCCTCTCTGCCCTCCTCTAGATCCCCGTCTGCCCCCAAGGGATCCCCACAAGTGAAGCTTTCTCCGCTCTAGAGTTTGCACTATACAAGGAAGTGCAAGAGGACTCGGTGTGGAGCTAAGCAGCTTCTCGAGTCTTCTTTTGCAAGAAGGGGTGAGTCTTTGGGAAGGGAAGGAAGCCAGGGCAAGGTGGGCTTGACCTGGGCCGACCAGGCAGAGGGCTGCTGGCCTGTTTGCCGCCCTGATAAGCAGTCCCCACGGCCCTCTCCATCGGTGACTGTCAGAGGAGCAGCGTTTTTACGTGGTACCAGGCAGCTGGCCCTTCTCAAGGGCTTGAACGTTCTGGGGAGAAAGTTCAAGTTATTGCAAGGGCACAGCTCGGAAGCCTCCTGTTCCCTGCAGCCCAGCGAGTAGAAGCAAGCAGAGCCCGCCCAGAAAGTCAACCCTGGGCGCTGTGGGTTTGGCAATTTTAGGGAACACTGACAAAGATTGTCCCACACTCGTGCGTGTCGGTTCCAGCTTTCTCCTTCAAATTTCAATGCATGTTATGAAAGAAATTTGGAAACATTTGCTTTTGGAAGCCTGTGGGATCTTCCCCCTCGTCGTGTTTTGGTTAGAAGGGAAGGACAGGCTGGACTGGGTGCTGCATGCAACCCCGCTCTCCCCCCATAGGAAGAGGGTCACTGAAGCCATTGGGGGGCACCAGCGAGACCCACGTGGCAGCTGGCAGCACGCTACCCAAGCGCTGGTTTGACTTTGTCCCGCAGCCGGCGCCACGGTCGCGGTCTGCGACACGGAGCAGCTCGCAGCCGGGCCCGGGCGTCCGCCTGGCTGTCGTGTGGCTGCGCGACGCTGTAGCATGGACGCCAGGGAGTCCACGGGCCGCCCCCCCGGGGCGGGGTAGGACCTCAGTGCCGTGGACACACGGCAGGCACTGAGAAGCTTGTTTGTGGGGGCACAGGCCGCAAGTCACCCCAAGGATTCGGTTCAAGTGCAGATGAGAAACCAAAAACTGGTGGCCCCCCAGGGAGGTGCCGGGCACAGAGCCGCCTCTACCTGGCCAGGTGTTTGGGTTCCTGGCTGAGCGCCCCTGTTCTTGCTCCGGGTCTGACATGCCCTATGTTAAGCCCCCAAATTGGATCCGCTGGGCAGCTCGGAGGGGCCTGGCATGGTCCACGCCCCCCGGTGGTAAAGGCGCAGGGCAGCGTCTCAGGAGCTGTGGCCCTTCGTCGGGAGCGTCGTCGGGAGATGCCTCTGACTGTGCTCTGGCCAGCTTGGAACATTCTGCTGCCTGCATGAAACGGCCGGCTCCTACGGAGGACAGGGACAGACAGGGACAGAGCGGGTTGGCTGCGGGGGTCCCTGTGCCCCTGTGCAGGGGCGCTGCCCCACGAGTGCTGAGCTTCCCTGCTCAGTGATCTCTTGACGTCGGATTTTGGCTCAGAGGGCCGCCGCTCGCCGGCCTTCTCGGTGACTTGTGACATGCCGCGTGTCTATAATAAATATGGCATTTTCTGACGTCGGCTCGCCCTGGGTCACTTCATTGCAGCATGGTGGGTGCCGTTTCAATACTTAACAGTTGGGCACAGGGCACACAGATGACACCTGACTTTGCCGTGACCCACCCCAGAGGGGGACAGGTGGCCTCCGGGGCCTCATCATGGCCGACATATGAATCTGTGGCTCTTGGTGCTGAAAGCAGAATATGGTGTGAGGTTGGGGCCCAATCTAAAGTCCTCCTTGCCCCCAGCCCGTTGCCCTCATTTCTCTTGCTCTCTCCTTTCTGTCCAGGATCCAGAGTTCAGAGTATTTCTATTAGTGACTGGAAGTACAGGCCCGAGGCGCCTCCAGCTAAGTTCTCAGCACCGCCGCTCCGCTCTCGCTCTGCATGTCAGGCCTCTGACCGTCCTAGAACAACAGGGCTTGGCAGGCTTTCTGGAAAGGGCAGGATTGAACATTTGATGTCACGGGGTCGGCGCTGCAGCTCCTCAGCTCTGCTCTTGTCACCGCAGACAACACCTGTGTGAGCCGCCTGGCCCTCTGCCAGTTGGCCCTGGGCTGGCTTTGTGGACTCCTGCTCTGGGGATTCTTGTCCACCACCTCCGCTGCCTGCTGCAGTCTTGCTGTTTCCCTCTTCCTGACCCCAGGACCACGCATATTTTATGTTTCTTAGGGATTTTGCATATTTGGTCAGTTACCTCCGAGGTAACTAAAATCCTGTGAGTGGTCAGTTACCTCCGAGGTAACTAAAATCC